TGTTGGGCAGTGTAAGACATAACAAAATAATAATTTATAAATTGTCAAGGGTTCATGGTGGGGTGGGCAGGGCAGGGCAAAATGAGGAGCTGATACCAAGGGCTGAAGCAGAAAGCAAATGTTTTGAGAATGATGAGGACAACAAATGTACAAATGTGCTTGACATAATGGATGTATATATGGATTGTGATAAGAATTGTATGAGCCCCCAATAAAATGATTTAAAAAAAAGATAACAGCCAATATTTCTATCATGTGTCAGATACTGTGCTACACACTAGGTGTGCATTTTCACGTAATTCTTAAACTTCGATATCTAGGTACAATTACAATCTCAACTATAGCGAGATTAGGTGAATACATGGCCATAGGTGCTCAGAGGTTACTTGTTCGTCTGCTAATTGCAAGGTCAGCAGTTTGAAACCACCAGCCACTCTGCAGGAGAAAGATGAGGTTTTCTACTCCTGTAAAGACTTATAACCTCAGAAACCCACAGAGGCAGTTCTACTGTCTTATGGGATCACTATGATTCAGAATTGACTCAATGGCAGCTGACTCTGGCATTGTGGGCAAGGCCACAATTACGTGAAAAGGCAGAACTGAGACTTGACTCAGTTGAAAATGTCCCTCCAGTTACCATAGGTCAGTGCCGACCAGTGGCCTCTCTTGTCAATGTCAGTCCTGCTAATAGGTTTTAAGGTACCCCATCCCCACTCCCCCATTTTTACCTCTTTGGCCTTAGAGCTTTGGTTATGCTTGCTATTAAACTGAGTAAAGCCCAGTGGCCTGGCATATTTCATCTTTAAATCTTCAAGGAATAAGACTGCATTCATTTTGTCCAGCAAGACTTCTCAAACCAGTAACATTTGACTAGAAACATAATGAAACTTCCTTAGTCCTCATCGATATAAACAGGTAGTACTTCCAGGAGATCATCAGAGCTACACTTACTGAGTACTCACGCCTTGACGTGTTTTAACCAGTTTCAATTCCTGCCTGGATTGTCAATGTGGATTCTGATCCACCCACCATCCCCAGCCTGTGAAAGACACCCCTGCAAGGGAAGCAGCACCTACCAGTCCCTGGACACCAGTGGTGCCAGTGCTTGATGCCCCCCTCCTGGCAAAGCCTGCGGCAAATGAAGGCAACCCATGAACATACCTTACTAACTAGACTGTGAAATTGTACCGTTGTCTTTCTCAACTTATAAAATACACCGGCACCCCAAACAGTCTTTTATTGAACATGCACATGACGTCCCTTTCCACCTCATCAGTACTGACCAGGCCACCGAAGAGGTAACTTTTAAAATGATGTTTATGCATAAAAAAGGACTGCACACCTGGTTAGCCTCCTGAGACCCAACGTCTCACTGTCATGAGTGCTCCTGGGAAAGCAGAAACAAGCGTTACACGTGAAAAGCAACAAAGCAGGGCAGCCCTGAAGGGTCACATATAGCCAAACACGCTTAAGTAAAAAGAGGATTATTAAGTCCAGTGGATAAAAGACATTAAGAAATTTGGAACATTTTAACATGGAAGACAGCGGGGGGCTTTTTTGGGGGTCAGAGGCGAGGAGGGAGAAGAACACAATTCCATAATGAAGCAAAACACACCCAGAGCCGATTTTTCTCACCATAAAAAGGAAACAAAGATAGACTCACACGCAATTTTTAGGAATGATTCAGAGGTACTCGCAAAATTTCTCTAGCCAGTTTAACTTCACCTGCTAAGCTGCTGTGTTTGTCTGAATTCTAGAGTGTGCTTCTCATGATCACAACTTCCTAACACAATTACCTTCTCAAAGAGTCATCGTTTATCATCTCTTCGGTCAGAGTTCAAAGTGCAGGCCTTGCTTCTCAGCCAACCCAGATTTGTTCTTTTACTGCCCTAGCAGATGACTTATATTTGCTCTTCTGTTTCTGACTTTTTCCCACTGTACTATAAAAAATACTTGCTAGGGAAATCTGCTTATCAAGACTTTTCATCTGAAGCAAGACGTCATACTTTTAAGAACATGATGCTTGGTGTTAGGACTTTAACGATCACGGAATCCACTGCAGCTGGAATGTCCTCCAACTGCAGGCCACAGAAGTGTCACTTCAAAGGGTCTGACCCAGGCTAATGCGCCCTTGGAACCATGCGCTTATCACACAACTCTTCCAGATTTCTATTCTCACTCCGTGTTGGCACTAGCTGTAGTACCATCACTTTTGCTTCCATTACCTTCTTTTGCCTGAGAATTTTCTATCTTTGATTGGTGACTGATCTGGAAAACACAGGTGGTGCTGTAGCATTTACATAATTACACTCAAAAATGCTCTTGAATTGATGTCTCTGATCTGGTTTCGCATCTGTCCTCTGCTGTCCCTGGTGTAACAAGGAATTAAGAACTTGGAGGATGAGATTCGTTGGTCAGTCATGGAGGAGACATCTCATGGTACAGTACACCAACAGATTCAGTTACCATGGCCCAGCATAGCAATACTGTTTCCAAAGCTAAAAAAAAAAAAAATTCTCAAATGCTATTTGGGAAAGATGGAAAGAGAGGGCAGCTTCTCTTTTCTAAAGCACTTTTTAAAATCCCCTGAGCTCAATAAGTCTACATAATGCATGTTCAAAACTGGGTCAATAATTACTGGTGACTTCTTCATTCAACTCTGACTCTCTTAAGCCTTGTTACTAGCAAGTAGCTTATTCCTGGGTTGACTGTTGCTGCAAAGATGGTAAAACTATCAGGCTTGAGGGAGAACAGTGTTCCACAAGGAGCAGGCCAGAGAAACTCCGTGGGTGAGGCGTAGACAAGAGATGGTCTGGCAGGATGGTCGTGCAGTCTCACAGTAAGATCCCCTTTCATAAAACCCGGGACAGCAAGTGAGGGTTAGGGAAGTTGAGAGAAAAAAGTTAGAAAGAAAACAAATCCAAACACCTTGCTTAGCAGTCCATGAACTGAGAGGACGTTTTTTGGTACTTTACATTGTGACGTGCTTAGGATGGCAAACAGAGCTGTATTAACTGGAGGGGAGAGGAACAGCTTGCTTCCCTACAGTGGCAGGACTGCGGGGGTGGGGGTGGTGGTGGTGGTGGTGGTGGTGGTGGGGGGCCTTTACAGCCTAACTTGCAGCTGTGTCTGCAACTCACCATGTAGAAACCAAGAGAGTGCCGCATTCAGAAAAGAAGCTAGGCAGAATGATGGTGTGCCAGGCCACACGTGGAGTGCGGTTTTCATCTAAAAGCAATACGGCCCTTGCATGAAAAAGAAGACACAAACCAGCGGGTCACCTAATCCACAGAGGAATTCTGAGAGAAGACATGCTGCCAAAGCTTTCCAGAGAATTCAGACTGGACACTTTTCTTCACTAATCTAAAACCAAATAAAGAGGAAGTGAGAAGCTGTCTCCAGCTATGAGAAACGCATATACCTTTTCCTTTTGGCACTACCAGTATCAGAGGTGGCAGAAGAGATCATGCTGTCTCCGTCCTCAATGTCGTCTCTCCTAGCAAGCTCCTTCTTCTTTGTCTGAAAGAGACACCAGGCACCAGGAGTCAGGCGCACCCAGCTGAATACTCTCAGAAGATGTCAATGTTACAGAGCTGCAGCATCAGGTTCACTCAGAAAGATACAATGAAGCGCAGGCTGAGGAAATGAAAAGAATCAGCCATACTCCCAGTAAGCAAATGTAACAAATGGCCGAAAAGTAGGTTACAATGGTTCTACAGTTACCGAACAAGAGCAGCTAAACAGCATTTAAGACTACATGGGGACAGATGGTAAACGCCTAGAGGAAGCTGTCGGGGCATCCAGCTCTGGTGGCCATCATTTAGCGGAGCTAACTCAGAGAGGGTCTCTGGTCCCCTGACTTCTAAGGGGCAGTGTAACTCAGAAGAAAGGTATTTCTGATGAGAGGACAAAGATCTACTTTTCAACCCCTGCAGCTTTCAAGACCGCCGGTCATGGCAGGCACGGGGAATGCACTCAGAGGAGCGAAAAGTACTTGACGCCCCCGGTGTGGTTTACCGTCAGTGTTGACCACACAAAATGAAGAGCCTGCAACAGTGGTTCTCCACCTACCTCACGCCGCAACCCTTTTCACAGCTCCTCATGTGGCGCTGACCCCCAACCATAACATTATTTTCGTTGCTACTTCAGAACTGTCATTTTGTTACTGTGATGAATTGGGCACCCCTGTGGAAGGGTTGTCCGACCCCCAAAGGGGCTGTGACCCACAGGTTGAGAACCGCTGGTCTATAAGTTACCGAAAATTGCGTTTGTTCTTCCTTGCTCTGAAATTCTCTTTCCAGTGATAGTCTACCCAAGAACGTCCAGGCACACCTACATGTACTTCATGCCGACACCGCCTGTCTCAAAATCTGAGACAATCTGCAACTGCAGATGCCATCTCTTTCAAAAAGTCTGATAAACTCATGGGCATTCCGCAATGCTTGATTAGCCTTCAAATGCCCTTTGGTCTAGGGCCAAGCTCGCGTTCACAGAGACTAGATCTAGAACGGAAGAAGTGAGATGTAATGCTGGAACGTAAGACTTAGATGAGGAACTGCCGAAACTAAGAGCTCACTGCCGTCGGGTCGAGTCCAGTTCAGAATAACCCCGGAGGACAGGGCAGGCCTGCCCGGGGGGTTTCCGAGACGGACTCTATAGAAGCAGAGGGCACCCACTACCTCCCTCGGAGCACTGGTGGTTTTGAGCTGCTGACCATGTGGTGAGCCGCCCAACATGTAGCCAAAGGGTTCCTAGTTAGTAGTGTTTGTGGCAAAACGAATGACACTGTATTGTTAGGGTTTGGGGTGCACACATCCGACCTGACCCAGCCCCGCACTCAAAGCATGTAAAATAATTTCAGTCACACACACACATAACTTAGCAAGACCAAGAAATCATACCTGCATGGCCTGCTGCAACTTGAGAACTCGCTTGTAGATGGCGGAATTGGGAACATTGTAGCGTTTGGCATTTTCAAACATTAAATTCAGATCGCACTCCAAATGATCTAAGGTTTCATACTCTTGGTTCTTTAGTTTGGTTCTGTAAAGACAAATACATAGCTGAAATTTCCCTTAGCCATCATAAAGCATCCTTCCTCAAAGTTTAGTGCAAAATCTTGCCAGGCACTAGAGGGTACCTTTACAAAACACCTACTGTGGAGTGAATTCCAGCACATACCGAACCCAGGCAGAGTGGCACCTATATCCTGAGAGGGTCCCCAGGCTGGAATCTTTACAGAGGCCCACGTTTTGTCCTCTCAGAGTGGCTGGTGGGTCAGCAGCCAAGTGATTAAGCCAAGATTCCACCAGGCTGAATCTTCAGTACCTTCATCAGTTAGCCTGACGCGAGGGTGGAAAATTATCATTTAAAAAGCAGAGAGGCAAATGCCGTACTACAGAGGCAAGACTACCCACAACAACGAAGTGCAGCACTAAAGGGAGCAATGGAGCAGGTCTGGGAGGCTAGTGACAAAGCTGACATACGAGGAGTGGCCCTAACGAGTCCCTATGGGTGACCAACAGTGAATTCCTAGGAAAGAGACAAAAACCAGAGTGATCTTAAAGCACCTAGAGGAAGAATCATGCTGACTTACTCATTTTTTAAAATGAGAGGCCATTCTTGTGTCTGAGGTTACAGAAAAGGGAAAGTACTGGCAACCCTAAGAAGCAGAGGAAGACGTCTGGGAAGACAGATGTCAAGAGGCAGACATGTTGGGAGCCATTCACTACTATGCCTTCAACAAAAATATTTACAATTAAACATAGTAACTTAAGATGGAGGCTTTCAAGGTCATGAGCGTGTGGGTATTTCTTTTACAAAGCACTGCTGTGACTCACACTAGCTCCCATAAAGGCCCTTGTACAAGGTGAGTGGTTACTGCTTGTCCTCATTCTGAAACGACTGACACAGCATCGTCTTTTAGCTCTTTTGGTCGAAGCAATGCAAGCTAACCATTAAAGCCACACGAAATAGGACTTAGGAATAACAGTATGCTTAAAACGCCTCACAGGACGGCTGTGGATGTTCTATAGCCGTGCCTCCCACAGGGGGAGATATTGAACAACCCAACCCACGGGCGAGCAAAGCACGTGTCTACCCGCTATCCTGGATTACGGGCCACACTATCAAAGCTTTGAATTGCTGGAGGGCACTGAGTGATTTTTTTTTCTGAATGGGGTGACAGACCAAGTTGTATGGGAACCCATATTCTAAACCATTCTCTTAGAATGGAACCGTCCATTTATCATGTAATTAAAGTTTTGTTTAAAACTTATCCAAACCATATGCAGACCCCACAGAGTAAGCACTAAGAGGAGTGCTCAGACTGTTGGGGACTATCTCTGGAATGAAATCCAAGCCACCAAGGACCAGGCGGTCTCTCAGTGCCAGGTTACACAGCCAGCACAGCCTCAGGCTCACTGACAAGTGCTGGGTGTACCCACCTTGCAAATGACAGAGATACTGATGGATAAAGATTCTACGTTGTCATTGACAACCTACAATTCTAGTCCATTTGCAGTCATTTCTAGAAAAATGTGAATGGGGACTTGTGGGGTCTGCCTCAAACGCAGTGCGCTTCTGAAGAACTGCTGTGAGGTCAGACTGACCACTGCAACTGCAAAGGCTAGAGGGAAGCTTGGGGGCAGGGCCATGACAACAGGGAGGGTGAGAAGCCGCACTACTAGCGGAGTGTCATCACAGTCACGGAGTAGGACGTGTAACAATCGCTGACCGGGCCTATGTTCCACTGTGAACATTCCCAACAACAAAATACAAAGTTGTTTTGGGATTGTTTTTCAAAGTCATGAGTGAAGGGAAGGGCAGGATGGGAAACGAAACCCGGGGATGACCAGCCCTAGGGCAGAGCTGCACTATCCGGCCGGTCTTTCACTGTGGCTGCTTTTAGGGAGACTGAACTAGTTCCTGTCAACCTCCCCACACCTGTACTGACTAATCAACAGTGGCAATTTAAATTATCATCATGTAGGATTTAAAATTTCATTCCTTGGTTGCATAGTCACGTTTGCTATCATAATGGAGGAGCAGTGAGGAAACGCCCTCAAGGTGGTGAGGGCTGACAGCACTGTCCCGGACCTCTGCTCTGAGTTAAAACACGCTAAAAGGGGGCCATGGCTCTGCATAGCCCTAGAAAGAAGGTAAGATCTGACTTCTGAACGTTGGCCCGGCAGAGCCCTCGGTGCTACCTGATAGGCCGGCCACCACCTTCCGATCCCCCACAATCCTCTCTCTCTGCACCACCCCACTGACAATGACTTTTAAGGTGTGTGTGTGGGGGTGGGGTGGGGTGGGGTGGGGTGGGGTGGGATTGCACAGAATTACAGTACTGACTTTTAACAAAGCAAGGTTTATATTGGAAAATCCAAACTTGGAAGAAAGTTTAGGCACAAGACTGAATTGGCTGAAAAATTGTCATCTTTTGAGCAGAATTAATTAGACTATTTGAAGAAATAAAGAGGGAGAAAAGAAACAAAGAGAAAATTTGTTTAATTAAAAGGGAACCACTAAATTTACATGTTATTTTAAGTGGCCATATAAACAGACATCCTATGTGCCACAAGCTGTCCAAAGTCTGGATAAAATGGAAGCACACTCAATCTTAGGATTAAACAACGAAAGCTGAAGTTACAAATGCAAAACAATGAAATATAAATTCTAACTGTAGTTGTGGAGGGGGGGAGCGGCGGTGTCTGGTGAATGTACGACTTTAATTCCCACTGAACGGGAAGGTTACCTGCCATGAAGGTGTCATGTAAAAAACAACCTACTCTGATCATGTCCAGTTGATATTTCTACCTGCTTCTTAACTCTACCTGGGTAAACTGTAAAACTGAACCCACACTGTGAGTTATAAAGCACTTTATTTTTAATATTATTTCCTATTATTTTTTAATGATACTGTACTGATTTACATATTCTTTCTAGCTAAATTCTCAATAATCACACTATCATCTTTGAGATATGGCTTCAGTTCCTGAGTTCTTTTTTTGTTTTTATATAATCACTTTATTGGGGGCTCGTACAACTCCTATCACAATCCATACGCACATCAATTGTGTCACGCACATTTATACATTTGTTGCCATCATCATTCTCAAAACATTTGCTTTCTGCTTGAGCCCTTGGTATCAGCTCATTTTTTCCCCTTCCTACCCCACTCCCCACTCCCTCATGAACCCTTGATTGTCCGTCCCCCAGGGAGAGGTTATATGTAGATCCTTATAATCAGTTCCCCCTTTCCACCCCAACCTCCCTCCACCCTCCTGGTATTGCCACTCTCACCACTGGTCTTGAAGGGATCATCTGTCCTGGATTCCAACTCCCCCCCTTTTTAAAAAATCATTTTATTGGGGGCTCATACAACTCTTATCATAATCTATATATACATCTATTGTATAAAGCACATTTGTACATGTGCTACCCTCATCATTCTCAAAACATTTACTCTCCACTTAAGCCCCTGGCATCCGCTCCTCATGTTCCCCCCTCCCTCCCTCCCTCATGAACCCTTGATAATTTATAAATTATTATTTTATCATACCTTACACTGTCCGACGCCTCCCTTCACCCACTTTTCTGTTGTTCGTTCTCCAGGGAGGAGGTTATATGTAGATCCCTGTAATCGGTTCCCCCTTTCTACTCCACTCTCCCTCCACCCTCCCAGTATTGCCACTCTCACCACTAGTCCTGAAGGGATCATCCGTCCTGGATTCCCTGTGTTTCCAGTTAATAGCCAACTATGCTTATTGGGGGAGGGGGTGGGGAAGGTTAGCTACAGACACACAGCTTAAAGATAAGTAAATTGTTATAATTAAAATGTCAATGAAGGGTGTAATAGAAGAGATGTTGGTACTTAGCTCAGTTACAAAACAATTAAATTAAGCTGTATTACTTTTTATAATCCATATTGGCATGCAAACGCCTAGTTGAAACTGCCTTGTAGCTGCCTTTTGGCTCTACAGCATACAAACAGAATGCATATTTAACTAACGTTATCTCTCATTTTTCATATGAGACATTCCCATAGACCCGCTCTATTATCCTTATCCATTTTAAGAAGTACTATGAACGTGCAGACTTCCACACCAGAAAATGGACTGAAACGGAGCAGTCTTACCTGATCTGTTGCAGGGATATGGGCACTTTGATTTGCTGATAATAGTCAGGGTACTTTTTCTTTGAGGGCAAATGGAAGAAAGGTTCAGCTATGAGCTGACCCTGGTTATTCCGACAGCTCCTAACTGTGTCATAAAGTTGGTAACAAGGGTTCGAAACATCCATGAAGGAAGCAATGCTCTCTGCTTCTGATTCTCCTTCTTCATAGCGAGCAGCTGGAAAGATAACAATTATTTTGATGAGGAGCAAGCACAAACAACAAAAAACATACTTTAGAACTCTTTTAACAACCTTGTAAATTATCTGTATTTTAGAGTACTTATTTTAAACTGTCTCCATTTCAAAATATATTATAAAGTTAGTGTCAAAATAGTCTGGAATTGGCGTAATGAAAGATCTGTGAATCCATTCATCTATAGTCAACTGATTTTCATAAGGGTACTAAGTCCACCCAATGGGAAAGAATACGCTATCTCACACATGGGGCTGGAATCCTGGATTTCCACATGCAAAACAATGAAGCGGGACCCAAACCCACACGATAACCCTCCCCAAAACACAACCTAAATGTAAGCACTAACACCATAAAATGCTTTGAAGAAAACACAGGAGTAATGCTTCAAAATAAAGAGTTTTTTTGTAAATCTATTTACAAAGTAGATTTTTGTAAATAGATTTTTGATATGACACCAAAAACCTAGAATAAAAAGACAACATAAGTTCGACTTAAATAAAATTTAACGACATCTGTTTATGGAATGATTTTTCAATAATATGAAGGGACAACTTAAAAATAGAAATTTTGAGAATTAGATACTGAGCAGGGGGTTAATATCCAAGATACATAAGGAACTTCTATAGTGCAGCACAAAAAGAACCCAAACATCTCTCCAAAGAACATATAAGGGGTTACCCACCCCCCCAACAAAAGAAATGTATTTTTCTTTCTCCAAAGCTATATATTTTAATTATTTTACAAAACAACCTTATTACACTCAAAAGCATTCTCCATTACACATAATACATTTGTCAAACCTGCGATTCCAGTCTTGGAAACATTTTTAAAAACTCATCTGTTTGGATGGCTGACTACACCCCCCTTGTTTGCTTTCACCTGTTCTACGTCATCAAATCGCTGTCCTTTCATGTCTCTCTTCAATTTTGAAAACAAAAAGAAGTCACCCGTAGTGAGGTCAGGTGGGTCAAGTGCATGGGGCAAGAAAGGCATGCTGTTTTTTGGCCAAAACGTGGCACAGAGATGACTGTGTGAGCAGGTGCATTGTCATGGTGGCAAAACCAATTTCCCATCTGCCACAAATCAGGCCTTTTTGGTCATACATTGTAGCTTTTCAGAATCTCTACATAGAAAGCCTGATTAACAGTCTGACCTGGTGGAATGACCTGCAAATGCGTTAACCCCCTCATATCAAAAAAACAAACAAACATCGTCTTGATCTCTGATTTCACTTGACAAGCTTTTTTTGGGTGAGGTGACAGTGGCGTCTTCCAACGGCTTGATGATGTTTGCTTACGGGTTGTAATGACCTTGAAAAGTAAGCATGCCACACTTCCAGTCAATGCTCTTTTGCTGGTTAGTCAGAATCCGAAGCACAAATTTCATAGCGACCGTCTCATTCCAAAATCTTGCATTAAAATTTGATGAACCGAGCTCCAAGACAGTCCAGATAACCCCCCCATCTCTTCAACGGTCCACCATCGTTGGTCTATGACAGTGGTTCTCAACCTGTGGGTGGCAACCCCTTTGGGAGTCGAACAACCTTTTCATAGGGGCTGCCTGATTCATAACTGTAGCAAAATGACAGTTATAAGTAGCAACGAAAATAATTTTATGGTTGGGGGGGGTCACCACATATGAGGAACTGTATTAAAGGGTCACAGCATTAGGAAGGTTGAGAACCACTGGTCTATGTGCACAAGTGCATGGATTTTGTCAACATTTTCATCCAAAAATGTCCGTTCAGGAAGTTGATGGATGTACAGAATGATGTTTGTAATCAATCAACATTTCACCTTTTTCCAAACAACAAAACCACACATACATCTGAGTTTTTCCCACAGTGCTGTCCTTGTAAGCCGTGTTCAATATCACAAAAGTTCCTACGGCATTTTTCCTTCCCCCTCCAGCAGAAAACAAAATTTCACAGCTGCACGCTGTTCTCTTAAATTGGCCATCACAAAAAAAACGAGGTTTGAGTGAAACGGCTTCGACGAAAAAATGCACTGTGACCAGAGCCCTGCCCGGCAATGCCACTGAGTGCACTAACCTAGAGAGTGGCTGGACAGAAGCTCACCCAGCGGGGAAATGTGTACTACAAAAGCTCCTCCCAGCAGGGTTCGCTTCTGGTTTTTTTTGGGGGGTAGGGTACCTCTCTCACATATACCTGGATACCAAGCACATGGAATGATGCTCCACACTGTTAGCATTCAACCAATCACTGCCGCTTGGTAGATTCTAACCCTGGCAACCCTGTGGAGAGCTTCCGAGGCGGTGAAGCTTTACAGAGTGAACAGCCTCACTTTCCTCCCACAGAGCAGCTGATGGGCTGGGGCTGCCACCCTTGTGGTCAGAAGTCTGCTGCTTAACCAACAGCACCACCAGGCTCCTTATGGGTCATCACTCACTCACTCAGTGCCATCAAGTCAATTCTGACTCAAACGGGTCATGAGGGACATGCAAATCTAACCACAACTACCACTTCACACCACGAGGATGGCTGTGACCAGAAAAACAGAACAAGTGTTGGTAAGGATGGGGAGAGATGAGCTCTCATGCATGGCTGATAGAAATGTAAAATGGTTTGACAGTTGCCCCCAAATTTAAACAATGTCCATGGAATCTCCTCACTCCTTAGTGTGTACCCCCAAATGGCTGAATGCAGGGACAGACACTTCACACCCATGTTCACAAGAGCCACGCGGTATATTCATACAAAGGAGTCTCGCTCAGGCAGAAAGAGAAATGAAGGCCCTGTCAACTTGATAAACAGAACGGAGGGGTGAAGTACAGCCTATCAATCAGGTCACTCGCTACTTCCTTGGAGGCAGAACACACTCTGCTTCACCTTCGGGTTGACAAGCCACGTGGAGCCACCCTGATGGCAGCCAGAGCCCTGGAGATGTGTCCACTGCCATTAGATCCACAGGACTTTCCACCCACCAGCCTGTGATTTTCCTGCATTTGGCATCATTGCATGTGCTGTGTGAGTTGAAGGGGAATTTATGGACTAGTATCAGACCTATGGACTAATATTAGATTTATGGACCTGATCTGGATTGGGCTGGGATGTTTTCTCAATACATAATTGCTCTGTAATATAAAGCTCTCTCTTACACATATATGAGCCTCTGAACTTGTTTCTCTAGTCAAACCGGACTAACACAGCCCGATACCGGCTGCAGTAGGGATGAGCTTTGAAATCATCACACTAAGAGCGATAAGTCCACCAAGAAAGGGGAAATACTGTATGATCGCACTCAAGTGAAATGTCTAGGACAGGTACCAGGGGAAGAACAGGAGGGAGGGCCGAGGGGAAACTTCTGGACAGTGCTGACAGGTGCACACCACGATGAACATGACATCACTAAATTATACAGGTAAAGAATGCTGAAACAGCAAGCGTTTTGCAGTATACCTTTTTACCACAATAAAAACTCTCATTATAAATGGTATTAGTAGTGGTAATATAAATACATGCTTATTTAGTGAAATGGTACACAGAAATAGAAGGTGACAGACAGATACAAAGTCACATTATTTTTAAGCCATTACCAAATAGTTTCTCTTTTTAAATGACCTTCTCCAGAGACTCCTTGCTATGTGTTCTCGGCCAAGAAAGCAACATTGAAATAAATATTCAGAGATTTCAGAACACACGCAAAGGCACGCAGTTCAGGAGACTCTCAACTTTAGACTACGCCGGGACTGCCAGAGGTGGTCTCACTTGACATCACGGACAAATGAAGAATTCCCTTACTGAGGGAAGCTTTAGGTAGAAGCACTCAAGAAAACATGTAATAATCTTTATAGCTTAAAATACATCGCTCATTTTCTTGTTCTAATATATAGCCAACTATATATTGACTATAATTTAAATTCTCCTTGATAGAGCAGGGCAACCATAACCCTTATATACTCTTGGGTACAATTTACAATCATTTATTGTTTAGTTATGGGTTAGGAACCTGACAAATACCAGCCTTAGATAATTCAATACCATCCACATTTAAGAGTTAGTGCTATTTCTTTCACAAATGAGAAAACTAGGGCATATAGAAGTTAATGACTAGTCCAAAGTCAATCAGTGTTTCAGAGAGCTGGAGGGGAAACTGGCTGCAGGGTCAGGAGGCTAGAAGCAAAGATAGAATTTGAAACTAGTTTTCCCTGACTTCATCACCTCTGATCTTTTTCATAAAGGACTTGTGCATTTTCTTTTAGGTTTATATCTAGATTATACATATTAATGCTATTATATTCTAATATTGTCCATGGTATCAATTTGTTTTGAAAGGCTGACTTCCAGACTGAAAATGGATTTGTGTGCAGTAGCTTTCCATTCAGTATCTTATTATCAATTTTTTAACAATCAATCTATCCCTTTTTACTTTTTATCCCTTGGTAATTATCTTACATAGAATTCATTTGTGGGAGTTCTACCCTGTCCTATAGGGTGGCTCCTGGAAATAGCCACAAAATCTTTCGTCAGAGACTTTTTTAAGAAAAAGGTCACCCATAGAAAATATGACACAACTGGTAAAACTGTTATCATTTAATTATAAATTCAGAAGATATGCTAAAATAATGAAATTAAACAAATTTTATCTCTACCCATAAAAACATCTACCAAAAAAAAGAAAAGCACTCACTAAACTTAAAAGAATGACAGATAATTAACTCATGTGCACCCCTAAACCTGTCCTTTAGGCTGCTCAGCCAGAGAAACCACAGCTTACTGGAAACACAAGTCACTGAACAATCTAACATCGTGTGACCTTCTCCCTGGAATTTTCATGACGGTCCCACTAGTACTCACCAGTGGACAATATAGGTTTTAAACAAGGATCTAAAGTCAACAGATCACTTGTTTCTGTAGAGTATTTAATACAAAATACAGCAATAAGTTTACGTTCGTTAAGTCTGTCAACCAAAGAATACAATAAAAATGCCAACACAATGGTACAGACTCCCAAACCGGGAGAACTCCCCAGCTGGACTCCAGTCCCTGAAATGTTCCTCAGCCAGAAGGGAAAGTGAAAAGGCCTGAACTAGTCACAAGCTAATCCCTACCAGCCAAAGCAGCATCCTCTTCACTCTCCGAGCCGTACTGAAGCGCCATGGTGATTGCTGACAGACGGCCCCCTTGGACGGCTCTTTTGTTGCTACCAAGAAAAACAGGCAATTAGAAGACAGGGGAAAATGTCATAACTTGGTTACTTTCATGAAATAGGAAATGTTTAAGGGAGCATTTATAGTAAAGGGAAAACTTCTAGTCAGCTACTTCTTCACTCTGTCTTTGTCCTTAAGATTCTCTGTACTCAATCTCAGTTGGGAAGATGGGTTTGTGTTTTTCTTCTTCTCCTCTTACAGAGCTCCAAGTAAGTTCATTCCAATTTGCTTTTTACTTAAATGCCACACGATTTCTTATTTAATAAAGAAATAAGGACTCAATCATAGTTATTGGTAACTCACTCATAAGATGCTCATAGTTTACATGGAACATGAAGTCCATTAAGCAATATAAAATTCATGTTCTTCTACACAGCCTATTGATTAGCTAACATTAAATACTGTCTGGCAAATCGCTTCTGTTTAAGCATTTACTGAGAGGTGAGGTCAAGCCTACTATAATCCAACCAGAGCCCAAATATTCTCTCAAGATAAGCATCAGGCAAACAAGAGGATGACGCCTAATCACCTCATACTGTCAGCTCACAGCACACACATGCACACACATTCTCTCTCTCTCGGTCTCTCACCGGTAATACTTGCTAGAGGAATTTCTTTCTTCACTAAGGCTGCCTTTACCGTGAGAAGAACCCGTGAGCCTGGCTGCAGCCAGATTTGATGCAGTTCTACCCAGAAACAAGATAAAAAAGCAGCTTAGAAACTTGACAGCTGAAATGAGAAGTGAGCTCACACACCTAACGTCATTAATGATGGTGAACAAAACGGTCAAAAGCAAGGGGACAACAGTTTTCTGCTTTTCTAAACAGAAATGATGAAATATTTTGAGTCCCTACTAGGCAGCAGGCTCTATTCAAGAGCTAAGAATTCTGCAGGAGAGAGATCAGGAGCTATCCTCCACAGAGCTGACGTTCACGGCAGCGGCCAGAGTGTCTGGAATGAGACATGGTCAAGGCCAGAAGAGAGCTCTGAGCGTGCCCCTCGGTTCCCCATCGTGGGCAGGAGAAAACAGAAACCCAGAACTAAGCCTTGTTCAAAGGAGCCACATATAATCCAGGTTTAATGAAAAGCCAGAATGAGCTTTTAGATCTGACACCAAGCTGAAGACCCTTATGGAAAATACAATTACACACGATTGTATAAAGCAACTAAAACATATAGTGGTTAAGTCTTAAAAATCACTTCCTTTTCTTTCCGTTGCCATGAATAGACTGGGCTACTCTACTCTCTTGAGAATCCCATTATCAACCCCATTATAAAAAAAAAAATTCAAATGCAAATTCTTGTTTCCAATGTATTGCGTTCACTAGCTAGAAAATATGCTAAGTAATAAAGGCAAAGGATCTTTGACATTTTTTGAACATACCTTATTCTAAGGCTTGACTTTGACATTTCATGATGCTCGATTTCTGCCTTTTTCATATAAAATATTTTTTTAATTGAATTTGCATCCTGTCAAGATAAAGATGACATGACTTTAAAAAGGAACAGAAGAAATGGAAAAGTTAAAAATCCCCTCACTCATGCACTGGGCCCCTTCTATGGGACTCCAGTCGATGTTCATTAAGCTGCATTCTCTAGCCTCTCTGTAAGCTTCCAAAACATTGCTGCACAATTGTCATCAGTTAACACTGAGGTCAAAAGGCCTCTAGCCCTTTCACAATCATTATACGACATACACAACCTAAGGGTGAACAGGGGCGAAAGAGGGTATGCCAAATTAAAACATAAAACAACGATATACCTCTTAAGATTAAAGACTTCACAAACAAATGAAGATTAATGTACTTTCTTAGACCAAAATTCTACTTCTTCTTAGAAATTTCTTTAGGAAAAATAAGTGGAAAATTAGCATTCTTACCTATACCAACAAAGAATTAGTACTCTACTGTTAAAAGTAAGAATGCAAAGGACTTCAAGGATCATTCCTTATTTTCACCGTCTCTCAAAAGAAAGATAAAAATTAGCACTAACCACCGAGAGCAACTCAGTGGCTGCCAGAGTCAGGGTCCTTAGAGTAGGGATGATTCTACTCCAAAAGCTTTTCTTATCATCTTTTGCTAAATCCCCACTAATATATTACTAATTCAAAAATTTTCTACAAGCAACTAACTGTTCATTAGGATTATGAAACATCTAAAAGAGAACTGCAAAACAATGAGGCAGTCAATTTACATTTGGTATTATCCTATACACATTGCTCTTTATATCTATCACATTTAAACGCAGACAATAAATCAGTATTTGAATGAAAGATTAATCTTTCCGACCTAAGGATGACACAGGGCAGCTGGTTTTCAACAAGGACACCAAGGTAATTCAGGGGGAAGAACAGTCCTTTCAACTTGGGACACATCGATGTCCCAACTAGAAAAATGCAATTGGGTAACCACGTCCTGCCTGAGAATGGATCAAAGGGCTAAATGAAAACGGTGAAGCTGCAGAGCCCTCAGGAAACAAACCCTGGATGAGGCAACAGTTCCTCAGGTTTTACACTGAAAACACCCACACACGAAACCCCCCCCCACACACACACAAAGATAAATAACTGGACTGCATCAAGATTAAACGCTTTTAACAAGACTGAAAGGTTCTGTGCTTCAAATGACACTATCAAGAAAGTGACAAGATAGCTCACAGAATGAGAGAAGCTGCAAATCACATTATCTGACTAGGGCCTACATCCAGAATAAAGAACTCTCATAGTTTAACAAAAAGACAACCTAATTTAAAAAGGGGCAAAGGATTTAAATAGACATTTCTCCGAAGATACACAACTGACCAGCAAGTCCCTGAAAAAAATATTATCACGGCCAATAGAAAAAGGCAAATCCAAATCATCAGGAGGCAGCACTTCAAAGCCCCTGGACTGGCTCTCACTCCACACACTCCAGGAGCAAAGCCCACGTGCTGGTGAGGGTGGGGAGCAACCACAACCCTCAGACGACGCTGAGAGGAGGTTAAGTGGTTCGGTCACATGGACACAAGTTTGGCAGTGTCTGAAAACTTTAAACACTTACCATGTGATCCAACAATTTCACTCCTAGGCATTTACTCAACAGAACTGAAAACAAATTCTCGCTCCACAACTTGTACACAAATGTTCGTAGCAGATTAGTAACAGTCAAAAAGTGGAAACCATCCAAATGTCTGTCAGCTTAAGAAGGGATGAACAAAATGTGGTGCCTCCACACAATGGACTTCACTACTCAGCAATGACAACACAGGAAAGGCTGGTATGTGCTATGACGTGGCCACCCTGGGAGACACAATGCCCTGGGCCAGCCACCAAAGACCACAGGTGACGGATGGTTCAATTTTCCATGACGCATCCAGAGACGAAAGATACGTAGACAGAACGTGGACTGGAGATTGCCAAGGTGTGCACGAAAATGGAGAATAGATGCTATTAGACACAGTTTTCTTTTTGAGGTGGTGCAAATGTTCTAAAACTGACTTGTGACTGACACAATCACAATCATAAACACATTACATTTCAATGAAAAGAAAAGGGTAAAAACCAACCTTGAATACTTGCGAGCCCGGCTCATTATAAGTTTTGGCATTTTTTGCTAGGAGATCTATATCTTTGGCCATTGCATGCATACTTTTGTAGCTTCCATTCTACAGTGAACAATAAGATACAGCAGTTCCTTTTAATGAGAGTTAACCGGTATGACCTTTAATTAAAAACTGCACAGTATCTACAATGTCACCATATTCCACCTTCTAAGAAATCTCCTATGTGAACAACACATCAATTCTTTTATGGATTATGACTACTGTCTATCTACAAACTAGTTTCTGAGATAGGCAAAGCAGGCTTGGTGCTGCTGCAGGCTGGGCAGCGGCTGGTGGCCCCAGGGTCAGCGGTGCAGACCCACAGATGAGGGTGTCTGCTCCTGTGAGGGGTGGCACAGAAACCTGGAGCGGGTCTGCGGAGGCGGAATGTACTCAATGGCAGTATGTGAACACACCAGGGGTACATTATTCTCCTGAAAAATAACTTACAATTAACACAGACATCAAATAGGTAGAAGGCGCTTTACTTTACAGTGTTCACTACATACTAAGTACTTTTCTAAGTGTCTCATGACACTCTGTCCTAATAAGGTGGACTTGATAGTGTGAAGACAGACCCTTTTAGTTAATCACATGGATTGCTGAGGCAAAATAAAAAATCCTTGTCCCCGCACAGGGGCTGACATTTTGAGAGTATCTACTTTGTCCTCGGCTCCAGACTAGAACTATTACATCCCAATGCTAACTCATCCAGAACATCCCAGGGAGAGCATCCAGTAAGGTCTGTGAAAGCTGGAACATGAATACGGTGGAAACCTGTCAGAAGAGGAAAACACCAACATTCTGCACCGAGAGAGCAACAGAAAGAAACGTGCAGAGCCAAGGCAGGACATGTGAGAGGTGGGAGAAAGAAGGAATTAGGCCCACACAGGTTCCACTGTAACTGCCTCACCTTACCAAAGGAACGGAGGGAGACACTCCAGGAAAGATACAAATGTGAGACAATGAGAAGGAAGCCGAATGGAATAGGATCTATCTGAGAGAGCGAGGAGTGTGAGCTCGGCTGAGCGCAGGTTAAGGGAATGGAAGAACCATAGGTACAGGGCATACAGCAAGAATAAGGACAACCGACACAGAATCCAGAAAATCAAGCAAGGCAGAACAGCTGCTTAGTTGCCAAGAGGAGCAACCTGGATTTCAGGGATCTCAGCAGAAGAGGCAGGGAGGGCCCCACCACCCACTACAGCAGGTGAAAGCGGGCAGATGGTTGCAGTGTGTACAGTCAGGAAGCCAGGGTGAGGGGCATGCCTGGGCTGGAAAAACTAAAGCAATGGCAAGTGAACGGTAGGAATTCATCCTGACTCCTGTAGGGGGAGGAGCTATGGCGGCACTGTCAGATAAACGTTAGACTGCTAACTTCAAGATCGGCAGTTCAAACACACCACCCACGGGGAACAGATGAGGCTGTCTGCTCCTTTAAAGGCTTGCATCCTTGGAAACCCTGTACAGGGTTGTTGTGAGTTGGAATCTACTCAATGGCAGCGCATGTAGCTTTTGGTGTGTTAGGGGAGCAGAGAGAATCCAGGGCCACAATGGCAAATGGCTGTGGAAAAAGCAATGGCGCCCCCAAGAGGTGTGCATGATCTCAGCTGGGTCATAACTTCTCCAAGTCCCTATTAGTTCGCCAGCCTTCCTTCCTCAAAATTCCATGTGCTATCCAACCTTCTCTCATATATTCCATTTTTTTAATTAAATTAGGCAGAGTAGGTCACTGTTGGATGGATAGAAGGAGTTTCAACTAGTTTCAGCAGGCATTAGAAAACAAGTGGCGTTAAGATTCTGGGCAGCAGAATGGATGGAAGGCGGCCAGGGCCAGGAAGCGATACGCAGAGGACTGGAGAGCCTTTGCCCAGGGTAGGTGAGGAAATTAACACATTTGATTAGAGAAATAGAGATAAACGAACGTGGCACTGTGGGACTTTTGGGAGAAAGGGACAAGACGTCAAATAAAGAGGTTTGGGGCCAAGATGAAGGTGTTTAAAGATCTGATACAATTCTCAGCATAATGAAAATACCTGCCCCTGAACAGATGTTGGAGACCCTGGGCTTTCGGGTCCAGGATACTGGGTCATTCTCAGCTACCTTCAAAAGCCGATGATACATTAAACCAAGCACCAAACGTGCTGCCGCCTCCGACTTGCACAATCGAGCCTCTGGGACAAAGGCTGCCTCAGGCTTCCTGAGGCTGTGATCTCACAGCAGATCCCCAGGTTGTTTCTCCAGCAGAGCAGCTGCGGGGTTCAAACCTCTAAGCTTTTCGTTAGCAGCCACGTGGCACCCACTGTGCTGCCAAAGCTCCTAAGGAGCCTGTATTTTAACGTTCCCTGAAAATGTCATTCGTGGTGTGTGATCGTAGGTGTATCATCAACTGTCTATATTACACTCTCAGAATTTGAAACCACACAGAAAATGATGTTCCTCCAGCACACCGCTGTGCTTTCCAGGCTCCTTTCAGAACGAGACAACAGGCACGTCGTTTTCCTTTTTGCTTAATCTACTGGCTGCCCCAAGCCCTTCTTATCCTTAAAGGTACAGTATTCACATTCACTAAGGCCCCATTTCACAGGACGTGTCCGATGGCTTTACATGGCCAGTGGCCCTTATGAGCTGCAAAGTGGGGATGGGACATTCTGTGCGTGGCAGAGAAAGCAGCAAGTCGCCTGACCAAAGAGATGTACTGAGTAAGCAGCAGAGGTAGGAAAAGAACCCACACCGGTCCAACTTTTGAATTAGGTTTCTAGTACAATTTAGGGAGGCTCTGCGTGGGCAAAACAGCTAATGTGCTCAACACCAAGTAAAAGGCTGGCAGAGTAAGCCTAGTCTCAGAAGAAAGGCCTGCGGCTCCTTGTGAACACAGCCACAGAAAACCGCATGAGCTGCTCCACAGCGACCCACGCGCACAGCTCCACCGACTCAGTGCAGCGGATTGGCTGTAATGGAGCCCTTTCTCCCTGTACCTTGCTTAACAGTTGTAACGTAATCCTTCGATGATTTCAGTCCAAATAGCTCCATTTTATTTGTAAAGAAAATGCCTATCCATTCATTCATGTTCATGTTTATTGAGCAACTGGGCGAGATGGGGTGTGGAGCTAGGGTAAGAGCAAAGAGCTGGAGTTGGAATGCTAGCTAGGGTTCCAATCTGAGCTCTTCTTACTGGTTTGTCACTTGGGCAAATTAGCACCTTGTTTCCTCACCTATGAAATAAGAATAGTAATAGTACCTACTTCAGGGGGTCGTGAGAACCAACTAGCTAACTCACAGAAAGCACTCAGAACAGTGCTTCAGCCATCACCACTGGGTGTGCAGGGGAAGGGAGGGTGGGAAGGAAAACAAGTGTCTATTCTTAGGGAGCCCCAAGACTCTAGCATCTGCTGTAAGTGACTATTATTTTAAGACACCCTAAAACTGTTTTAAAAGCAGTAAAAATAAACAAAGCTTTATGATCAAATGTAGCTTTCATAATTAGAAATGCATGGGACGAGTGCCTTTTCATTTGTCCCCAAGAACAGGATTTATACTATGCCTTAGAGCATTTTGCTTTGCTCTTTACAAGAAAAAGAGGAATTAGGACTAAACGTCACACTCCAACCCTACAATCAGTAGCACTACCCTAATCTGTGGGCACTATATTGCTAGCAGTCCCTTAGTGACACATCTGTTTCTCTGTTTCCCAAAAGCCCCTAAAGAAGACAATAGGCCACTCTGCCCATAACCACATACAGTCACCTTCATACCTGTATCCTTTGGGCAATGGTCTTGAGATCTATAGGCTCCTTAATGATTGCATAATAGTCTGGATATTGCTGGAAGACAAAAACCCAGGCATGGGAAGTAAGTAGACAAGCAAGCACATGTCGATCTACTGATCACGCTCTGTGAGATGCCAAGGCACACAGTCCTACACGGGCTTCAAAAGGGTGGTTGAAAACGGAACTAAAAGACAGCAAAAGTTTTCCATGAACTTTCTGAAATTCCCTGGCATGGTTTTAACAATCTTCATAAAATACCCAGCAGCATGCTCTGCAAGTTTACATCTGGAATTTATTATTAGACAATGAACACTCAACCAGTCAATGTTTTTAAAATTCGATATTCACAGAATCATACAATTTTCAATTTAAGGTGTCGAGATATCTATGCTTAGAATAGAAGCAGAGGAATGTTCTTGTTTAAAGCCTTAAAATGTTTTCCTACCCAACAATATTTTTTTAAAACTCAAGGATCAAGAAAACAGATAAGAATTAACACATCTACTTATCTCAGTAAAAACAACCTTAAAAAAAAAAAAAAAACGCCACCACCTTTTCAATGAAATTACAGTAAAGAACTGAAGCAAGACCATAACCCGTTGCTGATTCCTTATTAAATGTCAGCCGCCATAAGGAGTGAAGTGTCAGGGGACTAGCCGGGAAGGACCTTACAATACCTACGGCTCTCCCACAGGGTGCAGTCTTTGTAGGAAGTCACTGAAGTTGACCAGAAATCAAAAGCTGGTCTCCTTGGGTGAGTACGGCGTCAGGGGAAGGCAGGCTCCCGGCTTGTTCAAACCCTCCTGGAGCTTGGGCGGCAACCACAGCAGGCAGGCGGCCCACCCTCGCTCAGCTGCATCTTATCTGAGCCCTCACCTAATCCTCCTTTGCTTGGATCCTACAATGTTCCTGCTCCTTCTCCTCTTGACCAATTCTACCTCTGAGAAGACGAAGGAGCCTCAAATATTTGTGGAAAAATACCATTGTTTACATTTCACGGTTCCTATTAACTTTTTGCAGCTCCCAAGCAGTTTAGAAGACAAACTGCAGAAAGGCTGCCCAGTTGGGAGCACAGAGTCACTCAAGATACTGGCCCTCGAACTCCCAACCCCCTTCCTGCTCAAGGGTGACTTGGCACACTGGAACCTTTGTCTGCTTCCCCGCCTGGGAAGGGCCTAAGGAGGAAAGAAAAAACTGTTCTTTCAGGTCTCAGTCCTTGTTGGCTGAGGGATCAATGGGAATCTGTTTCGCCAACCAACTCATACTGCATGGTGTCCCAGGTCCTCCTGGAACAGGGTAAGCAAAGATGTTCTAGTGTGCCAAATCATCCTTGGTGGCTTAACCACTACTGAGTAGCTCCTGCACAGCACCCTAAGTACCCGTTAAAGATTGTTCTGGAACAGTTTAAAACTATG